TCTTTCTTTCTTTCTCTTCCTTTTGTTGCAACTGTTTATATTTTTAAGAGGATGTGTCCTTGGGCTAATTAAGATCATTGCCTGGACAATCTGTACTGTTTCAAAGGCAACGTCACCTTAAGCTTCACTGAATACTACTGCTCTGGTCCCTTCCAAGTCCTATATAAAAATGGAATGAGGTCATGCCATGGGTTAACTCTCGATTTGAAGTTTAAAGGAAAAGGATCCAAGACAGACATGCTGTTTTCTCATTTCTTTTCTTTTGCTTTTTAGTATAACAGGGTTAAAGTAGAGAGAAATAGAAAAAGGGAGAGAAACATTTCCTGCTCCCCATGTAGGACATGGGAGTTAAAAACTACTTGTTGTTGTTGTTGTTTTTAATCAGATAGACTTCTTTATCAATCTAATATAAAATATTAGATTTCCTTTTTCCTGGCTTTTCTTTCACTCAGATATTGGACCCAGGGCCTTGTACATGTTTGGCAAATGCTCTAGCACTGATTTGTTTTATTTTATTTTTCTTTCTGTAACTCACCAACTTTCCTGATAAAGCCTTAACCTGATTGTTTAAAATCAGGTAGATGTTGTGGAATCTAGTGCTGGCTGCAAGATATTGTGACTTTTTTCTTTGTCTTTTTCAGACTTGCTGAGTTACTAGTAGATGCTTTTTGTTGATAGGATTTGAACAGTTGAATTCTGATGCTTATGGGGTTTGTTAATGTATATGTAATTGATTTGTACATTTAAGTTGAGGAGGTCTGAAGAAGGAAATGAAGTGGAAATTAAAGATGGCTTAGAAAGGAGGTGTTTAGTGTTGATTTTATTGTGACTTGTCTTGCACTGCATTTCCTTGGCCTAGGTAGGCAAGGAGGGGTCAGTGTGCCAGTGCCTTTACAGAAAGTAAAATATGAACCCATATGAAATAATAGCCATCCTCTGAATAAATCAATTCTTTTTATTACACGATGTAGTTTTTTTTCTTGCTTATCAACTGAGAAATTGTGGTTTGATCTCTGTTCTTTATTTGTGGGAATAATCTTAAATTATTAAACTGAGCTACTATAAAGGTGGGGAATATTTACTGTGATATGTATGTATTTTCTTCATTGTTAAATTAGTTTTTGCACCTAAATATTTAGAAAAACATTGTAGAATATTTAGGATACTCTTTACAATGTCTGTCCTTGCTTCTAAAATCTTTTTCTCCTTAGGGCTTCTGTATGTAATGTACTATTGACCTGCTGCAAAGATAATGTGTGTCGACTTTGGGTAGAAACATTTTTACCAAATGATTGTTTGTTGTACGGAGGAGACTGCAACCGTTGGTCTGAACCAATTAATTTAACAAATAATTTCAAAAGAAATGCTTCCAGTAAAGAAAGAGTTCACAATGCTCTAGAAGTAAGTGTTTTTGTTATTTCCTACAAATTTTACAACCTACTGTATATTGACTTTTTTGTAACCTAGAAATTTTGTCTTAAGAAAAACAAGTCTCAGAATTTTGTTTTTAATTTTAAGTGGTTATACAAAGGGGTTTCAGTTCAACAAGTTAGATTTATGAATACAGCACATTTTGATCAGTTTTACCCCTTATAATGTTCTCCCTCAGAAATTTTGTCTTGTTCAAAATATACACAGGAATTTTTCTAAATATTGCTGACATGGTTTATATTAAAATTCAAAATTACTACATTTTCATCAGGTTCTCTGTCTGCAGCTTGCATATCAGGTTGTCAGAATCTTGGGTTTACCATATGTACCATATGTACATTTTAAGATCACTCCTTTTCAGTGGGCCTTTTGTAAGAGTTTTTGCTAATTGATATGGTACTGTGTGGTGTTAACATATTCTATGAGCAATCTAAAACTCTAAAATCTAAATGGAATACCAGAGTTGGTTTTTTTTTTTTTTTGGGTCCGGTCATGGGGCCTGAACTCTGGGCCTGGGTGCTGTCCCTCAGCTCTTCAGCTCAAGGCTAGCGCTCTACCACTTGAGCCACAGCGCCACTTCTGGCTTTTTTCTTTTTGCTAATGTGGTGCTGAGGAATCGAACCCAGGGCCTCATGCATGCAAGGCAAGCGCGAGCCACCTTCCCAGCCCCTAGAGTTGGTTTTTTAAGCTCAGTTTTCATAATATGTGTTAAAGGCATAATGATTTCTCTGAGATGATTTTTTTAAAGATATTTTAATTTTCAGTCATTGATCATTTCAACGAGGAAAATTAGCAAGTATTGAATGATGCATGTGAAATTGTTTAAAATTAAATGAGTGTAAACAAATTTTGATATTCAGAAAAAAGTACTGTCCTATAAAATACTTGTTATCAATCATACAATAACAATTCATGGTGAGGTTTCATTGAAATTATTGATCCTGTGTATTAAGTGCATAAACTACAACAGTAATATAATTTGGAGAATGTTGGAATTAAAAGTATTACTCTAAAAATTTTTTTTCTAAGTTCATAAAACTGCCTATGCTTATTTTTTTTCTTTTTTTTTATTGTGAAAATACTGTACAGAGGGGTTACAATTACATGGGCAAGATAATGAGTACATTTCTTATAAAGCATTGTAGCCTCCTCCTTTGTTTCCCCAACTGCCTATACTTACAGTGTTACTTTTAGCTTAACTAATGATAACAAAAGAATGATTCTGTTTACTTTGCTGATAACATAAATTCCCATTTGAGAATGTAAAAATTTGGCTGTTAAGATTTATTTTCTCTTAAGACTTAGAGTAGACTAGTTTATCATAGTCTGTTCTACCAGAACTTGGTCTGCTAGTCTTTATTTTACTAATGAGTTTTGAAGAACAAGGTAAGTTTTTAAATGTTTGGACTTGATCTCAGGGCCTGGGTGCTGTCCCTGGGTTTTTGCCAGGCTAGTGCTCTACCACTTTGAACCCCAGCACTACTTCTGGTTTTCTGGTGGTAATTGGAGATGAGAATGTCTCGGACTTTCCTTCATAGACTAGCTTAAAACCACAATCAGTCTGAGGACTCTGATCTCCACTTAAACTACCAAAAAAGCTGGAAGTGGAGCTGTTCCTCAAGTGCACAAGTTCCTCAAGAGCACAAGAAGCTCAAGGATGGCACCCAGGCCCCGAGTTCAACCCTAGGACCTGCACCAAAAGTAAAATAAAATTTACATAAATTATATGTGTGTGTGTGTGTGTGTGAATCTTTGTGTGACTGCAGAGCATTTATTATTGAAATCTGAATGGTATCTAAAATGGCTCAGAATATAACTGAGTGTATATTATATCGTATAGTCCACAATAGATAAAATGACTACCATAATGACTGCCTGAAGCCCCAGACTAGGAATTCGAAGAGTGTTCTACATGTAGCTCCGTCTTTTTTTTTTTTTTTAAAGTTTATTAGAGTCTCACAGACTTTCCTAGTCCTGTGGGCTTCAAACTGCAGCCCCCCGATCTCAGTCTTTCAAGTAACAGGTTACAGGAGTGAGCCACTGGCACCTGGCTCTAAGTTCTGTTTCTTGTTAGCTGTATGACCTTGGGTTCTATTAAACTGTGTTATTGTATGAAAGATGAACTGACAATACTTTCAAAGTACCCCATGGTATGATATGATCTTGGAATACTTGTAAATTTTGAAATACTATAATATGTGGTAATATTCAGTACTTTACAGTCATGCGAGTGAGTTGTGGACAGAGAGGATAGTATACATAGAGACTTTAGTGCTCATAGAAACATCGTTAGAAAAATTTTTATACTTTCAAGCCAGAGAATTAATTTTAAGAAAATAAACCATTGCATGTTTTCTCGCATGTTAAAATTAGCTAAAATTAGTTTATTAGTAAATACCTTGGGTGGTATTCAAATGTACACAAATGTATTAACTAAAAATTTTGAAGATTCATAGGAGAACTCAAATAATGTTATTCCTTAAAAAGGCAAAGTCATAGTTCAACAAAATAAACTCCAGAAAATAGGTGCTTGAAAGGAGTAGGTGTGGAGCCAAGAGGAGGGGGGTAGACAAATTAAGAAAAGCGGGGAAAACGGGATCAGAAATTTGACGTAGCCAGGCACTGGTGGCTCACGCCTGTAATCCTAGCTACTCAGAAAGCTGAGATCTGAGGATTGCAGTTTGAAGCCAGACCAGGCAGAAAGTCCACAAGACTTACCTCCAGTAAACTACTCAGAAAAAGCAGGAAGTGGGCTGCCGTCCAGTGATAGAGCACTAGTCTTGAGCAGAAGGAGCCCAGGGACGGCACCCACGTCCCAAGTTCAAGCCCCAGGACTGGCAAAAACAACATGCAATGTATACCTTACAAAATGAAGAAAAGTGAGGGAAAGAGGGTAGGTTGGGAGGGATAGGTGAGAATGTTAAAAAAGACAACAGTGGTCAAGAAACACTGTATTCATAAGCTGCTTTGCTGGATGGCAACTCATTTGTACAACTAAAGATAATGAAAATATTTCAAGAAAAGAGAACAGATAAAAATTGCCAAGTTCGGGCTGGGAAGGAGGCTCAGTGGTAGAGCGCTTGCCTCGCATGCCTGAGGCCCTGGGTTCGATTCCTCAGCACCACATAAGAAAAAAGCCAGAAGTGGCGCTGTGGCTCAAGTGGTAGAGCGCTAGCCTTGAGCTGAAGAGTTGAGGGACAGCGCCCAGGCCCAGAATTCAGACCCCATGACCGGACCCCCCCCAAAAAATTTGCCAAGTTCTGTATGAAGATTAAGAGAGGAGCTCAGGCTCTTTAAGTGCTGACCATATTCTTGAAGATTCAAATTGCTACAAAGACTGAGCACCCATGGTTCAAGCCTGTAATCCTAGCAACTCAGGAGGCTGCGATCTGAGGATCAAGATTCAAAGCCAACCCAGCAGTAGAGTGTGTGAGACTCTTACATCCAATTAACCATATAAAGCTGAAAGAGCTATGGCTCAAGTGGTAGAGCGCTAGCTTAGAGCACAGCTTAGGGACAGCACACAGGCCCAGAGTTCAGACCCCAGGGCTGGCAAAACAAATTTGCTACACAACATATTGAAAGATAGTTTTGTATATAAAATTATCTGGAGTGGCTGGGAAGGTGGCTCAGTGGTAGAGCACTTGCCTTGCATGCCTGAGGCCCTGGGTTCGATTCCTCAGCACCACATAAGCAAAAAGAAAAAAGCCGGAAGTGGTGCTGTGGCTCAAGTGGTAGAGCGCTAGCCTTGAGCTGAAGAGCTGAGGGACAGCGCCCAGGCCCAGAGTTCAGGCCCCACGACCGGACCCAAAAAAAAATGATCTGGAATAGAATATATGTAACTTGTGTCAGTGTATATGACTTAATATAGGCATTCATTAGTTTGTTGTTATTTGCACAGATAAACCTGAGGCATTTTCGGAGAGGTCGGAGGAGGTCACTTGCACTTGTCGCGCATACTGGCTATCTGCCTCACCAACAGGATGCACACCAGGTCCACAGGAACACTCCACTGCACGCCAATGCACTCTGCCACTTTCATATTGCAGCCAGCATCAACCCAGCCACAGGTAGTGAAGCACAGCCAAAACATAGTTTGGAAATTTAGTGAATTGATTTTATTGTTACAACTAAATTATGTTTCCTTTTTTTTAATGTAAATAATACATTTAGTTTCTGGAGGTGATTTTCTTTGACAGTTTTTCATTGTAGCAAGTTGACTAGTTTCTGTTTGTTTTTGTTGCTTTTTCTTTTTTTAAATTTTTATTTGCTTTTTCTTTTCTAGTACCAGAGTTTGGATTCAGGGCCTTGTGCTCAACTTTCCTACTCATGTCTGGCACTCTTCCAGTTAAGCCACACTTCCCAGTCTGGCATTTTGCTGATTAATTGGAGAGTCTCCAGGCTTTTCTTCTCAGGCTAGCTTTCAGTGGCAGTCATTCAGGTCTCACCCTCTTGAATAGGATTATAGGCATAGTCCACCAGCACCTAGTTTATTTGCTTTTTAAAGCCACGATTTGATTCATAATACACATCTCTATAAGTCATTGAGATTCATTGTTAGCTTATTCAACAGTTAAGATCAGAACTATTACCTATTAGAGATTAGTACCACAGAAATAATACTTTATAGTCATTTTGTAGTTGAAACTATTGTGTTTGGTACTTATTCTTAGGATTTATTTCATAAAGAAATATGAAATATGTAAAAGTGATAGCTGGAAGAATTAAGAAACTACACTGAAATTTGTATTAGTAGAAAAAGTGAAAGGTGCCAGGTGCCGGTGGCTCACGCCTGTCATCCTATCTACTCAGGAGGCTGAGATCTGAGGATCATGGTTCAAAGCCAGCCCAGGCAGGAAAGTTCATGAGACTCTTATCTCCAATAAACCACTAGAAAACCAGAAGTGGTGCTGTGGCTCAAGTGGTAGAGCACTGGCCTTGAGCTGAAGAGCTGAGGGACAGCGCCCAGACCCAGAGGTCAAGTCCCACGACTGACAAAAAGGAAAAGAAAAGGAAAAGTGAAAGGTCTTTGAGTTTGGAAATTTGTGTTTATCCCTTTAGCAAATATTTTATGTGAGTAGAAAACTCAGTGGCACAGTCGAGGCTTTTAAAGTCGAATCTTGAAAAATTACTTAAAAATTACTACAACATTTATACATGATAAATACTGTGTGTATAAAACGTGGGAAATAAAAGCTTCCTCTTCTACCTTACTTCCCCATAGTCCTCTCTCTAGAAAATGGTCACTATTAATGGCAGTACATTGTACAATATTCCTAAGCATTAATTGAGTGTAACCTGCTTGCTAAGAGCTGGAAATGACAATTATTTAGGGGGACATAGCAATAAACATTGTGTTTTAGTTACTTGAGTAAAATTCTGTCCATCAATGTGAGATGTACTCTGCTAGGTCAAAGTGTTGGTAAATGTATAGTAGTAATGAAAGGTGTTTCTTGTCTTCTTAGGATGTACTAGATTGAAGTAAATAAGGTATCCATGAGCCAACAAATATAACTAGGAGAGTATAGAATAATTTTTGTTAAAAATTTTCTAGGCTTGGGAAAGATCAGTCATCATTATCAAAACATAATGAAAGTGGTTATAATACACAGTTAGCTGTAAGGTCATTGGATTAATTTTTAAGATCCATGTTAGGTAAAGGATAATATGGGAGAGGAGGTATAGTTTTTTAGCACCTCAAAATAAATAATAGCAAGATTTTGAAAATACAGCTTAATGGAAGGGGCACTGTGGCTCAAGTGATAGAGTGCTAGCCTTGAGCACAGAAAGGCTCGGGGACAGTGTCCAGGTCCTGAGTTCAAGCCCCAGGACCGGCTAAAAATTAAAAAAAAAGTTTTAGCTGCACACTGGTGGCTCATGACTATAATCCTAGCTTCTCAGAAGGCTGAGATCTAAGGATCACAGTTCAAAGCCAGCCCCAGCAGGAATGTCCATGAGACTGTTATCTCCAGTTAACCACCAGAAAATCATAAGTGGAGCTATGGTTTCAAGTGGTAGAGTGCTAGCTTTGAGCAGAAAAGCTTAGGAACAGTGCCTGAGCCTTGAATTCAAGCGTTGAATTAATGACCAACGAAAAAAAGAAAGAGGAAAGCAAGGAAGCTTGAATTTTGTCATTAATGGAAAGGCCTGAGAGTTTATAGACAAAGGAAAGTTAATGTCAGCATGGCAGGTGAAAAAGTTGTTGCTGTTGAGTTGGGCAGTGGTGGTTTATGTTCCCAGCTCGAGACTGAAACTTTTAAATATGTGTGTGTATTGTAGACATTTTTCCGCAGGAGAGTATTTTTTAGGACTAAAGTAAACATGAATAGTTAAATTATGATATATGACCTAGAGTATGTAATTCTATCTCTTTCATAATAAGCATATTGAGTTTGCTACTTAAATGTGTCTGTTGAAAATAATATTGACAGCTGACACTTAGATCATGATTTGAAGCCAGTCAGGGCAAAAAAAGTCCATGAGACTCTATCACCAGTGAACCACATAAACTAAGAAAAGAGGAATGAATTTGAGAAGTCGAAACATAAGTGTAGTACCACTTTAAATTTGTCCAAATTCGTAGACTGTACAACCCCCAGGGTGAATCTTAAGGTAATCTGTGGACTCTGAATGCTGGTGATATGTCAGAATGTGTTTATCAGTTATAACAAACACACCACTTGTGGTCAACGTTGATAATGGTAGAGACTGTGCTTAATATGGAATGCAGATAGCAATTTCTGTACTCTTCTGTCAGTTTTGCTGTAAGTCTAAAACTGCTTTAAAGTAGTCATTTCGGTTAACCGAAACTAAAATTAAATCTAATTAAAAAGTGGAGAAATGTTTCTCAGACAGAAGATAAGTGCAGTAGTCACCAATCAGAACAGGAGATCTCAATGTTTTGTATACCAGAATGATAACAATTTTAATTTTGTGGATTTTTTCTTTATAGACATTCCACTTCTTCCATCTATAACATCTCTGAGTTTAAGGGAAAATCAAGAAGAGAGTGGACCTTTTGTAGTACACTGGTTAAACAATAAAGAGCTGCATTTTACTTTGTCTATGGAAGTCTTCTTACAGCAACTTAGAAAAAGTTTTGAACAGCCATCTTCTGAGGCCAGTATGGAAGACTCCAATCAGGCAGATGTAAAATCTGATGAAGGTAAAGCATTAAGAAAAATGAATATTTTAAAATTATATTAAAAATAGAAACAGGTTTTTGTTTTGTTTTGGTGCTACTGGGATTTGAACTTGCCCTATGCTTGCTAGGCAGCTGCTCTGCCGCTTGAGACATAGCTTTTATGTTAGGGTAAAACTAGCTATTGTTAGAAATACAAGTCCAAGATTACAATGCATAATACGGATGTGGACTAGATGTTCCTTTTTTGCTTTTCCTCCTTCTACATGGTGGTTTAAGACCTCAAAGGATCTCCCTTCTTGTGAATTTTTCAGCCCTTAAGACCGAACTGCCCAAATTGCTGTCTGTAGACCGGCAGGATCAGGATTACCCGGTGTGTTTTAGGAGTGCATAATCTCAAGCTGGGAGCTGGTGCATCACGCTCTCAGGAGGCTGAGATCTGAGGATACCACTGTAAAACCAGCATGGGCAAAGAAGTCATGAGATTCACCAGCAAACAGCCAGAAATGGAAGTTTGTGTCAAGTGGTAGAGCATCATCCTTTAGTGAAAAAGCCAAGCAAGAGTGTGAGGCCCTGAGTTTAAGTCCCAGTACTTGGCCCTAAAAGAGAAAGAGAAAAGAATGGAAAGAGTGACTGCCCTTGTCTTGTTCTTGTCTTTATAGAGAGTTTTCCCCATTTTTTTATGGTGTTAATTGTAGGTTTATCATATATAACCTGTGTTATGTTGAAATACCTTCTTTTTATTGCTTATTTGTTCAGGGAGTTTATCAGTCTTGAAGGCAGGCTGAATTTTGTCAGAAGATTTTTCTGCATGTATTGAGATGCACATATTATTTTTGTCCTTTATTCTATGTGTGTGCCATATTTGTTACATTCTTGATTTGCAAATGTTGAATCAAATCCTTGCATCCCTAGAATGAAACCACGTTGATAATGGTGTATGATTTTGGGTGCCTGAGCTTTTGTTGGGAGGCTTTATTACTACTTTTTCATAGCTTGTTATAGATAGTTTTAGGTACAGACCGATTCTTTTCAGTATAAAGAGACAATTGTTTTAAATGGAACAATGGGTATTCATTTTTAAATAAAAATAGTATTCTTCAATTTTTTTGTCAGTCTTGGGGCTTGAACTCTGGGCCTGGGCACTGTCAGCTCTTCAGTTCAAGGCAAGCGCTTTACTGCTTGAGCCACAGCACCACTTTCTTTTTTTTTTTTTTTGGGTCCGGTCGTGGAGCCTGAACTCTGGGCCTGGGCTCAGCTCTTCAGCTGAGGCAGTAAGTCAGACTTACTCCCTCAGCTCTTCAGCTCAAGGCTAGCGCTCTACCACTTGAGCCACAGTGCCACTTCCGGCTTTTTTCTTTTTGCTTATGTGGTGCTGAGTAATCGAACCCAGGGCCTCATGCATGCAAGGCAAGCGCCCTACCACTGAGCCACCTTCTCAGCCCCCAGGGGAGATAAGAGTCTCATGGACTTTCCTGCTCTGGCTGGTTTTGAATTGCAGTCCTCAGTCTCGGCCTCCTGAGTAGCTAGGATTTATACATGAGCCACCGGCACCTGGCTTGTTCTTCAGCTTTTTGCTTTGGTTATACTGAGGTTTGAACTCAGGGCCTTGTGGTTGCTAGGCAGGTGCTCTACCACTGAGCCACACTTTGAGCCAGCCCTGTTTTCGTTCTCATGTCCTGCCAGGTACAAACCTGGACCTCATTCTGCCTATTTTAGACTTCCTGTCATAGCTAGGATGACTGGGGCTGCACATTGCTGGATTTAGCTTCTCTCCGTGAGGCAGTCTTGTGGGTATTTTTGTAAGAAAATGCCCTGGCTGACCTGGAACCATGATCTTGTCAATCTCGGCCTCCTGCATAAGTGAGGATAAGAGGCATACACTACTATACCTAGCTATGAGTTGAGAAAGGTATCTATGAACTTTTTTGCTTTTGTTGGCTTTGAAACACAATGTTCCTACTCACAGCTTTCCAAGTAGTTAGGAAAACTGGTCTGATCCACCAGTGCCCAGCTAGAACTTTTCAACTTTCTTACTAATTTTAGTATTCTTTCTTTAAGAAGAAACTTTTAGCACTTAATGATAGTCATTTAGATAGTTAATTTCTTTTATTTTGTTTTATTTTTTGTGGCAAGGTCTTTTTTTTTTTGGGTCCGGTCGTGGGCCTGATCTCTGGGCCTGGGCTCTGTCCCTCAGCTCTTCAGCTCAAGGCTAGTGCTCTACCACTTGAGCCACAGCGCCACTTCTGGCTTTTTTTCTTTTTGCTTATGTGATGCTGAGGAATCAAACCCAGGGCCTCATACATACAAGGCAAGCACTCTACCACTGAGCCACCTTCCCAGGCCCTGTGGCAAGGTCTTATATATCTAAAATTAGCCTCAAATTCAGTGTGCAACTCAATCTGGCCTTGAACTTGTAATTCTTTTGCCTCAGACTTACTGCCATGATTAGAGGTGCCACTATATGCAGTTCTTCTATGTTTTAGTTTTTTTTGTTCATGTTTTTTACCCAATTTTCTGTTGTCTTTCATTTCCTTACTTAATTGTATATCTTTCCTTATGTTCCTTTAAATCTGGTACATAGTCAAAACATTTTTAAGTGTATCTCTCTAAGAAAGGCTCTATATTTGTAGCCAAAATTTGAAGAGGGGAGTAAAAGAAGCTGGGATTATTGAAAGAGGTTAAGGATGTATGCATGTTTACATGGGCCCTATAAATGTAATTCTTTGAAGTGATTGCTTTAAGGTGTCATGTTAATTACAAGCACATGCATCTAGAGGACAAGTTAAGTTTTTCTTTTTTGGGGGGGGGTTCCGGTTGTGGGGCCTGAACTCTGGGCCTGGGTACTCTCCCTCAGCTCTTCAGCTCAAGGCTAGTGCTCTACCACTTGAGCCACAGCGCCACTTCTGGCTTTTTTTCTTTTTGCTTATGTGGTGCTGAAGAATCGAACCCAGAGCCTCATGCATTGCAAGGCAAGCGCTCTACCACTGAGCCACCTTCCCAGTCCCACAAGTTAAGTTTTGCACATTCAGATTTGAGTAAATCTTGTACTATGAACAAAGAATAAAGTAAAAAACATGCTTTAAAAATTAAATGCTGAAGCTGGTCACCGGTGGCTCACGCCTGTAATCCTAGCTACTCAGGAGGCTGAGATCTGAGGATCACGGTTCAAAGCCAGCCTGGGCAGGAAAGTCCGTGAGACTCTTATTTCCAATGAACCACCAGAAAACCAGAAGTGGCACTGTAGCTCAAGTGGTAGAGCGCTAGCCTTGAGCTGAAGAGCTGAGGGACAGCGCCCAGGCCCAGAGTTCAAGCCCCACGACCTACAAAAAATAAAATAAAAAAATAAACCCCAGGTTATAATCCCAGTTGCAGTTCTCTCATTTTTTCCATGAGGAAATTTCAAGTTTAGAAAAGTAGCTTATCTTAGTGAAGGTTAGCTATGGACATCTGTTTTGAGAAACCAGTTTACCTCTTTCTCCAGTTCTATTTGTCCTTCTACTAGTAATGCCTTGACTCTTTCCCATAGACATCAGATTTCTGAGGTAACTCTGGTGACTTTCTGCTTTTGGGATAAAGTTTTTGAAAGGCAGACCATTTCTTGTTAATGTTAAAATTCTGTTTTCCATCCTGAAGGCATATATAAAGCTCTTGAACTTTTTGCTCAAGGTTAACACCCTGCCACTTGAGCCACAGCTCTACTTCCAGCTTTTTTGATAGTTTTAGTGGAAATAAGAGGTTCACAGGCTTCCCTGCCCAGGTTGTCTTCGAATCATGATTTGAGATCTCAACCTCCTGGATAGCTAGGATTCCAATCATGAGTCACTGGCACCCAACTTAAAGCTTTTTCTTGTAGTAACAGTCTCAGTTTATTTACTTGGCTCATGAATGTTTTGCTTATAGAAATGGATGATGGTGCTGATGATCTGAAAATAAATCATGAAAAGAAGGAACTGGGAGAAGAGAAAATGGTACCAAACTCAAGTTTTGCACCATTACCATCAGCTGCCATTGATCATGAGATTGAAGTACTTCTGTCTGAATGGAGCAAAAATGCAGACATGCTTTTTAGTATCCATCCCATGGATGGTTCTTTACTAGTTTGGCACGTAGATTGGCTGGATGAATACCAGCCTGGAATGTTTCGCCAAGTACAGGTACAGTTATTATGACCTCTGAGGAGTTATACTGTTCTGTAGTTGTTTTGTACAATTCTATTTGTCCTAATTCTTGCTTTCTTAATTCTAGGTGTCCTTTGTTTCGAGAATTCCTGTAGCTTTCCCTACAGGTGATGCAAACTCTCTCTGTAAAAGCATAGTAATGTATGCTTGTACCAAGAATGTTGACTTGGCTATTCAGCAAGGGCGACAAAAGCCCTCTAGCCTCACTCGATCTACATCAATGCTTATCTCTTCTGGTCAAAATAAATCATCTAATAGCTTAAAATTAAGTATTTTTACCCCTAATGTTATGATGATTTCAAAGCATGCTGATGGCTCTCTGAATCAGTGGCTAGTAAGTTTTGCTGAGGAATCTGCTTTTTCTACAGTTCTTAGTATTTCTCACAAATCCAGATACTGTGGTCATCGTTTTCATCTTAATGACTTAGCTTGCCACTCAGTATTGCCATTATTACTGACAACATCGCACCATAATGCATTAAGGACACCAGATGTTGATAACCAAAAGAAACCTCATGATAGTGTAAATATTGAAGAATGTTCTCTGGTACACCAAAATAAAAGCACTGCTGATGTGGCATTTCAGGATCCCAATGCAGTTTATAGTGAGCTTATTCTTTGGAGGGTTGATCCAGTTGGGCCATTGTCCTTCTCGGGAGGAGTGTCTGAGCTTGCCCGGATCAATTCTCTTCATGTTTCTGCCTTTTCCAATGTGGCATGGCTTCCTACTCTTATACCCAGTTACTGTCTCGGTAAGCATTCTGATTTTCATTTCAGTATTTAGATTTTCTGACACTGTTACCGAAGGCCAAGTTACAAATGTTGTAAATGCTTTCTAGGTGCATACTGTGACTCTCCCAGTGCTTGCTTTGTGGCTAGTGATGGACAGTACCTGAGGTTATATGAAGCAGTCATTGATGCCAGGAAACTTCTGTGTGAGCTCTCCAACCCAGAAATTGCTGTACGTTACTGCCTTTTAAAACTGGTCTAAGTATTAAATGATACTTTCAAATTCTTAACTGTTCTTGCTGGGCACGCCTAGGTCTCTGACATGTAAGTCATGAACAATATGTCTTTGTTACTATTTTCACATTTGTATTGTATCTATTTTACAATGATTTTATGCTGAAGAAACTGTCATTCATTTAAAAATTAGAATCTAAGCCAGGGATATAGCTCAGTGCCAGAACACATTCACTTCATAGCATACACACAATAAAACTAAGAGTCTGCTCTACTACAATATGTGCTTCTATAACACTTCTTTGCTCATAGATAAATGGAGACTAATGGGAGCATTGCGTGTAAGTTGTTAGTTCTTTTTCTAGATAAAAGTAGTGCTAGAACAAATGGAGTAAAAGTTTAATCTTTTTTTTTTTTTTT